ATGGATGGATGGATGGATGGATGGATGGATGGATGGATGGATGGATGGATGGATGGATGGATATTAACCTCCACAGAAGTCGTGGTGCCCGTCGCTAGCTAAACCCGACATGATGCTGTGATCTGGTTGTCGAGGTCTTTTAGATTGTGCATATTATTCCTGCTGCCTGATAACAGCGGTTCTAATGTTGTGGCTGAACGATGCATCGTGGGAGATGTAGGATCCTGCGTTCACGACTTACTCTCAAAGAACTCGTCGTAGTTGACTCTCTCCACGCAGCACGTGTACATACGCAAAGCAGCAATCTTGAGTTTCTGTGAAGACAAAAAACAAAAAGACGGAACATCAGCAGCACATTGAGCATCTTGTATTCGATGAACTACAGCCCATGTGTCACATTTCATTGGTTTACTGGAAAAGCTGCGGCTGAAACACTAAACAGATAAACCAGAGTGGTGCTGTGTCGTTGGGCTTCTTCAGGCCCGCGTGGCTTCCATCAGCACCAACAGTTGTTTTTAATGGAAACGAGCTAAAAATACGTCCAGAGGCAGCAGCGGCTGATTTGATCACACATCTAACCGAGTCGAGGACGTTTCAGTGTGCAGACAGAGAACAAGACCAACATCTGCAGCATTGTGCCAATCCAGCGGCGCCGACATTCCTCCCGACACACGACACCTTTCGGGCTTGGGCCAGAACCTCCCACATCACCGGACGCCGCCGAGGCTGTAAATGTTTACGTCTTTGATGATGTGGGCGAACATTCCTGGACAACGCAGCGACGAAACATCCCAGAGATCAGAGATTCACACTGATTTATACAGAATGAAAAATCAAGCAGAACTTCCAACTGGACCTCCACAGAATCAGCTGGTTCTGTATCTGTGGTAACTTTATTAATGCTCAGGGTTCCAGAACTTTGAAGTCCACAGAGGAGGGTCCAGAGTGATCTCTTTAATGGACTTTTTCCATCATTTATGAGCCTCAGATCTTCATCAGTGCAGCAGATAGACTCATGACCTTTAGGAGGAAGAACACATCTGAGCTCAATTTTACATCCGTCCAAGTTTCACAATCTAAAAACTTTCCCGGGATGACAGCCAAAATAAAACACCAATCCCAAAATACCTCAGACTTTTCCAAACGGGGGGAAAAAACACTTTAAATGATTTCAAATGACTCAATTTGTTCAAAATGACTCAAAACAACAACAACAAAATGAACCAAAACCACGTGAGAATTGCCAAAAAATTCAAAAATACAAAAAAGTGTAACTGAGCATCAGTATTATGGGATGTCTCGTAGTTTAAACAGTAAAACTGCTGCAGTTTAATGAAACAATCACTTACAATCTGTTTAAAATAACAAATAAATCACCAAAAATGACTTTAAAGTTCCAGAGAAATGACATGAAGCTCGTCCAGAATCATTCAGAATTTTCAGACGTTACATAAACACCCTAAAGTAACTCCAAATGACTCAAAATAAACCAGCGTGACAAATATCAGTGATGCACGATATTGAAACTTCTGGCTGATACAGATACCCGATATTAAGGTTTCCGATATCGCCGATAACCGATATCACCGACGTCGATATTCAGTTTTTGTTCCCACCAAAAAATCTGATTAAGTAAGCACTGTGAGACACTATTCAAAATAACAAATTAGGCCACATAGTCTAACAAAAGTAAAACATATTTTAACCATTTAAGTAAAAACATCTCTGAAATAGCAGCGACAACAAACGTAGAGACGAAGGCGCTGATGTTAGACAATCATCGGCTAGATTTGTTCATTGGACCGATACCGATATATCGGAAGAACACTAATATCGGCCGACACCGACGTGGTTGCCGATATATCGTGAATCCCTAACAAATATATCTCCACAATTACCTAAAATCTGTCCAGAATGACTCAAAAATGTCTACGACAAACAAGCAAAAATCCAAAATGGCTTAAAATCTCTCTAAAATGGCAAAAAAGCTAAAATAAATACATTAAAAACTGTCCGAAGACATGAAGCCTGTTCAGAATTTATCTACTTTTTCCTAAATGCTAAAAAAAATTGTTCAAACTGAATTAAAATCTGCCTCGACTGACTCACAAATGTCCAGAATGACGTAGAACGTGTGAAGAATTATGAAAACCGTCCAACATGTGTTCCTCCTCCTAAACGTCATGAGTCTATCTGCTGCTCTGATGAAGTTCTGAGGCTCAGAAATGATGGAAAAAGTCCATTCAAGTGATCAATCTGCTGTGTTCGATGAAGTTAACGCAGACGAAGAATCCGCTGATTTTGAGGAGAAACGGAGGAAACTTCTCTTCAGATTTAGCTGCTGTTTTTGTGCGACTCCTCGTTTCTCCACGACGGAGGTGAAAAGTACAAAGTTTGCATGAGAAACACACAAAAGAGGAAAAGCAGCAGAAGGACATAAACGGGTCGGATCCTTTAATTCATCCGTCTGCAGCCTGTAATCATCTGATACTCGTCACCTCGTAACCTTTCTGGGCGACGACGGACGCAACAACTCGCCCACTTCTTCTTCTTCTTCTTTTAATAAAACAGGCAACAAAACGCAGAAACTCCACGAAGAACAACGTTAATTACAGGATGAGAGCTCGCTGACATGAGGCCAGAGTACAGGACATCCTCACACCTTGTAAAGCGCCGGGCCGCCTGCAGAGCTCAGACGAAACAACAGCTGCGCCTTTATTCAGCCCGCTGCAGGAGAACACACGAGTCCGGGGGAAGGTGGAGGAGGCCGACGGGACGAGGCCTGATGTGGTGTCATTAGCAGCTCGTTTAATTAAGCTCCGGCTGATGCAGCGACAGCAGGACACGGCTGGCATTTAGAGTTTGCACGTCAGGTTTGATACAAGCTAGAAATGTTCTCCAGAGCACATAAACACCAGCGCTGTTAAACGTACAGGAACATCTTCTCCGATGTGTTTTGGTTTATTAGTTTGGAACACGGCGTCGCCTCTGAGCTGGAGCCATGTGAATAAATCTGAGCTCCGGCAGCTGCTGTGGGTTTGTGAGCAACACTGAGAGTCGCTCAGAGCGGCGGCATCCAGCAGCTTACCGGTTAAAGCTAATCACACACACTGGAACCTGGAGCTGGTTCCCATCTGGCGGCTAACGAATCGGTTCTTCTCACACAATCAGATTCTTAAAACCTGCTCAGCCGCCTCTGACCGGCCTGATTGTTTTATAGCATGAAATATGAATACTTAGAAAGACATTTTAAAAAAAATTAGCTTCATATATCAAATACTTTTCAAGATAAATGTTTTTTAAAAACTCCCATTTTCTGCAGGATTTTTCTCAGATTGACATTCGAGGAACAACATCTGAGGAACTGTTGAAGATAAAAACATGAAATTTTCACTTTTATTTCTCATCATGTCGTTGAACAAGTCGATCAAATCACGTCTGACATTGCTGCAGGTCACAATAGTACCAAACATGCAGAATGATTTTAAATACTTGGATTAAAACAAAGTTATTCTTCCAACTCGTCAGCAGGTTTAAAAAGTTGTAGCACAAAACCAATCTTGTCAGATCGCTCTGTCCAAGTAGAGATCAGGCTTTTATCTGTAATAGGACCACAGACGTTGTCAAACCCAGCCGTGAATTTAACAGCGTGCTGAAGGCAAATTAAAAAGTATCTCAGATATTGCTTAAAAAGTCTAAAACTTCACAGATACCAGCTTCACAAATATCTTTAGAAACATCTGTGTTTTATGCTATAAAAACTTGAAGGAGACGGTCGAGCAGAATTTCTTCTCACAATCTGATGATTTAAGACGGAATCTGCATTTTTACATAAATAAACGCTAGGCTAAAGCTAGCGCTACAAGGTGAGCTGTGCCTCTCATCCAGCAGCTGACGCCACCTGGAGCATCGTGACATCGTCGTAAGGTCAGATTAACTTTATTGATCTGTTCTAACCGACAGACTCGTCACGACCTGCAGAAACTGAACAAGAAGCGCAAACGTCAACACAAACCGGGCTGTCGGCTGCTTTCACGGAGGCTAACGCTACGCTAGCAGCTAAGCTAGGAGGCAGAAACCTGGATGAACCTGAAACAAGACTCTGGGAAAACAATAACTAGTAATGCTTTAATGTGGATCTCAGTGAGAAATAGAAGCAACAGAACGGATTAAGAAAATGGAAATAACAGTCGATCTCACAGTGAACAGGATGAACGGATTCAGTAATCTAACGAGGTGATGAATGACAGGTGTCCTGCCATCACATGGTGCTAATATAGAACATTTAATGTCATAAATATTGCTTACTGGTCACCAGTGGGTAGATTTTATTCCATTCTGGGGGCGAATCCAGGAGCTCATAGGTTGCATTTAAGAAAAATAAGGACCCAAAGCTTGTGGGGAAATGAGGTGCACAATTGCTGGTATTTACAATTTAAACGATAAGAGTATAAATACAGTATAAAACAGTAGATAATAATGAGCATATAGTCCCGGCAGAGCCAGGATTAGCAGGTTGTATTCTGGGTTTTCACTCATCAGTCGGCGGCCACCTGTTGTATAACATATATTAAGCAGCCCTTCTGCTTTAATTGTCCCACCTCTAACCTTTACCTCCCCCTCGGCTCCGTCACTCACCCATCTGTTGTATTTGAGCGGCCCGGTGAAGCCCATGGCCTCGATGAGCTTGGTGAAGGCGCTGACCTCCTCCTCCGAGTGCTGACGCGTCTCCTTCACGTTACGCAGCTGAAGCACAACAAGCACGAAGGAAAGGTCACAGGAATGTAAAAGAAATGGAAGACAGGAGGAAAAAAAAGCAGGAACTGCTGCTTTAACGTGCTGCGTAGCTGCTTTAACCCTCATTCCAGAGCCCCGGTGACGACACACACCTGCAGATCGTGGCCTTTAGTGGCCGAGAGCAGCTGCTGACTAAATTAATACGCTGACCTACTCTGAGCTGCACGTCGTCTTCAGGCTCTGACAGCTTTATTACTGCCACCGCGGCCCGGCTACCCTTCATCAGGACCTGCAGATGTTTGGCTTCAAATCACCAAAACATCACATGCTTTCTGCTCTTTATACTGACTCCACACTAAATATTTAAACCAGCTGAACTTCCTCTTGCGCTGATTCCCGACACGCAGCGCAGGGAGGACGTAGCGTAAAGCCTCCGACTGATTGGGCAGCGGTCTGGAATCCGACCAAAATATTAATCAACACAATCTATGAAAACACGCCAGCTAAAGCCTCAGAAAAGGTCTGAAAACATCTGAACGGATGAAGCACAAGTCTAGGGACTGGAGGTGCTGTATTACCTGAGTGCACCACCAGGTGGAGCCTCTGACTGTCTTGTGGAGTTACAGGTGTGTTTGCCGACCACCCGAACTCAGGACGCGTACTGCTCATGAGGACGTTAGCACGATTCAACGCAGTAAATGATCAAACAGAAGCATCTAAAATCAATCTGACGGATGCAACGAAAACTCAGAAGTGTCATCTGTCTGAAACAAAAACATCAATCTTATGGTGTTAAGTTCAGCTAACGTACATCTGATGCTAACGCCAGCCAAGAGGGAGGTCAAACCGGATTAAATCTGTGTCGCAATAATTAAACAAAATCTCCTGAGAGTCAAACACAAATCACCGTCTGGTAGTAAATAAAACAGAATAAAACTGCACCAGAGTTTAACATTTAATTATTACCTTGTTAATTTTTATTTATTTATTTATTTTTTAACTGATGACGATTTCTTTTCTGTCGTCACTGGTGATATCCTGATTTAATTTTAAAGATCGGTAACGGGGCCGGTTTGGGCATTTGGCAGGTGTCGTAAAGGGAGAGAACAATTTGTGGCAGGAACTCAAGGATGCAAATAAAAAAATAAAAAAAGTCTATTAATTACTGGCAGTATTATTAATCAATAATCATTATTTGATGGTAAGACAAATTAGGCACAGTGGACATGTGTGGCTGTTTTCATCAACAGAAACATGATTTGTAGCCTCCTCAGAGTCTCTGTCATTGCTCCGTTGCTGCTAAACTCCCACAATGCTCTCTGCTGAGTGACGCCTCCTCTGTTCTCTACGGTATCAAACAGTGTAGAGGCTCCACCTGGTGGAACAACCAGGTACTGCAGCTGATCGACATTTTCTGACATGCATGACCTTTTGTTGCCTTATCAGTTAATACATTGTCAATTGGTAAATTATTACCAGCAACTATTTGAATACTGTTAATCAAACCATCCCTTGTGAGCTTAACTACCAAGATTTCGAATGAATGTTTGTGCCATATTTTTTATTTTTATTTTTTTTTTAAGTCCCGTAGAATCCTCTAAATAACCAGCTAATAAAGACGCTGCACTGCAAGACCTTCCCACTGGCCGGAATAAAATGACGAATCTTGACCAGAAAAGAAAGGTGAGAATAATAAAAGTAGCATCTGGGGTGCTTTTACTCCAAGTTCTGCCTTAAGCTCGATTTTTTGCTTTCAATTTATTTCGCATTCAACTTTTTTTGGAAGATTCGGTTCAGTTATTAAGACGCAAACACATCAGTCACATGCGATCTGTTTGTACGAGTTGATGTGACACAGGCTCGGTTTGTAAAAAAAAAAAAAAAAGTCTGCGTAAATATGAACCAGACCTGAACTAACATGCAACAATGGATCTTTTATTTCCTCCAGATCGGGATCACATTAACCCGACAGACGCCTTCACATTCAAAGGAAGCAGCACAACATCTTATTCAGCTTACTGACTGGTGGAGGACGGGTCTAATACGGCGCTGTGTGCGATGGTACCTGTGTGCTGATGTGCAGCGTCCGACACGGTGCTGAACAGGGAGGAGAGACTCTGGCCAGCTGGCAGGCAGCGAGAGCTCCGAGGCAGGCTTCATGATCCAACGCCTGGAAGGAAAAGAGGACAGAAGAGACGACGTTTAACAACATGGAGGAGCGAAGATGTGCAGTCATAAAGCTGTCCTCGCATTAGTCAGGAGTAAGGAGCTTCATAGTGTCATGAAATGTAAAGAAACTGGTCTGGATAGGATTAATTAATACTTTCTGAGGTGACTTTATGTATTTGCTAACATGAGAAGAGCCACAGTCATCAAATGTGGTCTTTCACACACAAAAACTTATTTAACCGGGAAAATCACACAAACCTAATATTGACAAATCTCCAAATCACAGCTGAAATAACCGGCTGATCGATCCACGAAGCGTTAAAGATCTGTTAAGTGTTTTAAATCATTAAGTCACCAGCTTCTGTATAATGAGTATTTCCATTGTATTTCACTAAAACCTAATTGCCATTTAAAAAAAAAAAAAGGACTTTTAATGTGCATTTCCACTATTTTCTGTGGAATTTTCTGCTCTTTTAATTTAGAATCGCTGCAGGAACAATGTGGGAAAAGGCCCAAAGCTGGTTTGTATGTCTTATTATTCAACAAACTCACTCCATGTAAATACAGAAACATTTCTAACAGACCTCAGTGGCCACAAGAGGTACGAGGAAATATTTCTGTCATCATTAAGCCTCTAGTCTTTTATAATTCAAGGCAGGACATTTAATATATGTCTAGTTCAGACTCTTCAGGGAGCTTCGTGTTAAGGAAAACATCTCGTTTATCTGCTGATTACATCAGAGTTTCTGATAACTGTTTCGAGAAAGTATTTTCTCAGGCTGTCTTCACAGAGTCTCACATAAAACATGTTTGGGGTTTGGGTTGTTGTTTCGGCTAAACAAAGCATTTCAAGGCAACAACAATAAGTCCTGGTGATGCGCACTTCATCTACAGCATTAATCTAAAAAAAACTGTTTGATGGATGTTTGATACCAAAATGCATCAGATGCAAACAACACGAAGGCTCGTTTTGGAAAAAGCTCGGCTGCACAAAGCAAAGTGTTCTCAGGATCATAAACAGTCCATCATTCTCCTCCATAACAAACACCCTCCATCACTTCTCTCCCCGTGGTGTCCACGCAGGTCTCCTGAGGTGCGCTAGTCTGCAGTCTCCTGAGCCTCTCCTGGATGATGGAGGCGACACCCACAACCTGCACCTGGACCGAGCAGTTCTGCTGACCTGAACAGGGCCTGACGGTGCACACGGAGGCCGGTACGAGCCGGAACAAGGTGAGCTCGTTCCTTTATTTTTATTTATGTGTAGGTGTTAGGGCTGCAGCTGTCGACTACTTTAATAATCGAGTATTGTGTCGATTATTCTGGCGATTAATCGAGTGATCTGATTTTTTTTCAAATTATGTAATTTCATTAAATTATTTCTATATTTAATCATAGTTTAAGCTGCATCTCTCAGCCTTATGTGTCACCATTTTCTGACATTTTATTGGGCAAGAAACTACCTAATTAATCCAGAAAACAACGCACAGGTTCATCAATACTGGAAACAACTGCATCCATTGATTATATTTGGACATAACCATCTGAAATTAAAACAGAACCTGTAGACTAAGTGGTGGATGTCTGACTTGGACATGTAGCTGTGAGGTATAAATTAAAACAAACTGAGGTGAGACAGCAGCAGCTCAGCGGTGTTGTGGTCAAGCTCACCTGGTGAATCAGCTGACAGACACTCAGGTAAGTAATCCTGTTAACCTGTTAGCTCGGTGACTGTTTATCATCAGGAAACACGCGGAAATTAAAACCTGGCGGACTTTCATGTCACTCTTTAAACTGTTTAATAACCTGCAGTGGTTGTGTTTGAGCCTCGTCGGCCGTCGGCTCTGATTGAACAGTTCTAAGCGTGAACCGAGCCGAGCTCCGGTTAGCCGCTCGGCTAACCGTGCTAGCGGTGTCGGTGTTACCTTCCCGCAGGCGGCTCTGGAAGCGGCCGCGCTGACGAAACTCCGGGCGGCGAACTGCAGCGGCCGCCGGTACATGACTCCACGAAGCGCCGGTGTCAGGGCCGAGGAGCGGGCTGCCACTTCACTGCGGCTCCCTGCGATGAAACCTTCAGGTTTGGTAACAGCAGTCCGCCTCCTCCGCAGCAATGTCAACGGAATCTGTCCGGCGCCGAAACCTGTCCGGCCAGAAACCAGCGGCGCGAAGAAAAGGTCCGCCTGTACACAAAGCGGGTTTTAATATAAAATGTATTATTATTATTATTATTATTAGTAGTAGTAGTAGTAGTAGTAGTACTAGTAGTCCTATAGAATAGAACGATAATCTATTTAATTGTTTTTTTTCTAATTTTCAGGGGTTTTTAAAAAAAAAGATTTGTCTCTTATAATAACATAAT